TGGCTTCTTTCCCTGGTGGTCCAGTGGCTTCTTTCCCTGGTGGTCCAGTGGCTTCTTTCCCTGGTGGTCCAGTGGCTTCTTTCCCTGGTGGTCCGGTGGTGATTTCTGGTCTGCAGCTCCGCGCAGTGTGCAGAGCTGCAGACCAAGTGTCTCGCGAGACCCGGTCAGAGCGTTGCCACGGTAACCCGCGGCAACGCTCTGATTGGCCAGATCTCGCCAGACACTTGGTCTGCAGCTCTGCACACTGCGCGGAGCTGCAGACCAGGGGCTGCAGGCGGTCTCTCGCCAGGAGGGGCCTCGCACCCGGCGGCATACCGGGCAAGCCGCCGGGCCCCCTCCTGGTGTCAGGTCCTCGGTCACTGACCGAGGACCTGACACAGATTGCCCACAGGCGGTTTAGGCGGCCGCGAGGCCCCAGCCGGCGCGAGGCCTTAGGCGGCCGCCTAAACCGCCTAATTAGAGAGCCGCCTCTGCCCCCCACACACTGAACCTTTCACACACATTGCACCCCTCACACATTGCACCACTGCTCCTATACCCTACTACAGCCCCATAACCCAGCAGACTCCAGGTAAGTTGTCAAACTGTTCTTAAACGGTTTGACTACTTACTCTGGGAGGGGGTGCCGACACTCCTGGCACCATAACCACTACACAGAGGAGTAGTGGTTATTGTGCATGGAATATTTCTTTACATAATCTACAAGTGCCCCTCCCGGGCTCAGGCTCTGGATCCGTCACTGGTATATGACATGTATATTAATGTGTATATTTGTTTTATATTTATATATATATATATATATATATATATATATATATATATATTATATTTACACATATTAATGTACATTTATATATGCATAATACACAGAGAAATTTCATTAATATGTACCATATGTAATGAGCAGATATTGGCCCAATCTTGTTGCTAGGTGCATACTCAAGCACAATAACATATTTAAAGTGAAGAGCACACCCACAGGACTTCAAAATAAACATTTTTTACAGTTGTGCCCTACATACATTCACCATTTCAGTCCCATTAACAAGCTTTCCTTAATATGTCAAGGTAGTTGGACTGAAACATTGATTACATGCAAAGGCACGTCTGCTTAAAATAAATCTGCACTTTTGTTTATTTTGAAGCCTATGAGTGCGCTTTTTACATTGAAGTACTTTTTAATTTTAATTTATCTGTTCTAACTCTGTATCTGCACACTATGCTGGCACGACGCATTATGGGGCTGGTAAATATTTTTTTTCCAGGGCTGCTTTTAATTCCCAGTCCGGCCCTGTAGTCAAGAATTTATCAAATAGTGAATAACTGTGAGGCATCTACAGGCATTGAGCAGCAGCCAGCATAACGTCTCGGCAAAGGTATCAAAAATCATGGGGCTACTATTCTCACCAAAAGTGAGATGAGTAAAAAAGTAATTG